TTGCTGCAAAGGAAAGAAGAAAAAAAAATGCTAAGTACAGAATAGTGAAATATGACAAATTGACCGAGCAGTTAGCACGGCTTACATGTCTCACCGAAATTCTTGCTGATAAACCAGCCCGGTACGTCGGCTGTTTCGTAGTTACCAGACACCCAGAAAAAGTCATCGTCGTGCAAGTCCTTGTCTAGGGTGACAGTCACTATATTCTCCTTGCCCAGTCTAATTTTTAAATAGTAGGCAAGGCCATCGCCTGTATGCCCAAAGGTATACTGGCACAATATCTCGACTAGTCCTAGGTTGGTTCCTAGCCGGTTGTTCAGTTCGTGGATCCCGTTGATTATCCTGTAAGGGTTGGTTGAGACTTGGGTTGGAGCTAGCCCGGTGCGCCGCAAGAATTCGCAGATCAGCGGGTTAACCGGGAAGCGAAGGCCCCCTTCTATAATGGACAGCACGGTGAAGGGACACTGGTCTAATCTGCCCCATGGGGTTGTGTCCTCAACGCCGAGCTCTAAGTGAACGTTGTCCGGGATACCGTATTCTTCCCGAAACGCAACTAGAGCAACCGGGGTGTCGACAAGGAAGCAGTAGCGCCCCATGTGTAGCCAACTGGTTTAGCTCGGCTGAGGTAGTTGGCACAGACTGGTGTTTGATGGCTGCTCGGTCTTTGAGAGCCTCGGTATTGGTCAGTGGTCCCCTTCGACTCTGTAGGAAAATGAGGGTGATTGTAAGTGGAAACACGGTCGCGTAAAATGAGCTTGACTTTAGCTCGGTCAGGAAGAGTGCCTGACCACCTCGGTCGCGAAAGGCAAACCAAGAAGCTCGGTCGCTCAAGCGGACCAGATCTCAGCCCAATCAAGTGGCCAAGTCCTCTGCCTACCTCGGTTTCTACTAAGGTTTTGGCAAACTTGTAATTTGCTCGGTCTTAACGTTTTTTGGGATCAAAAGAAAACTTGGAGCCCGGTCCGCCCCAAATCTTCAGGTGTTTATCAGTGAAGCTGAAGAACAGCAAAGAGAACAAGGGGTAGGGGAGGGTTTTGGGGAGCTATACCCTAAAATCTATGGTTTTAGTACGCTAAAACAAGAAATATCAAATGAAATAGCCACAAAAAGATTCGAAAAGCTTACCAGTAGAGGCGAATGCGGATCCTTCAGGCACGAACGCAGAAGGAGGGCAAGAGTGGAAGCTGCAGAGGGCACGGGAGCTCTGGATTGACAAGAATAAAGGAGAGTCAGTAAGAACGAAAAGCGATGGGGAAGTGACGTATAAATAGAAGTGAGAGACCGCCAAAAATTTTGAATGTGTAGGGACGTGATGGTTAGCTGCTCGAGGCCAATAAACGAGCGACGCGTGTCCCAATTAATGGCAGTGTCAGAGTTGAAGAGACAGGAAGGCGAGATGAGACGTCGGCCGAGCAAATCGAGGAACCGAGCACTGGAATTAGTGCGGTTGGCGTCTTGCAAACAATAGACCGAGGAAGGGTCTACCTCGGTCGGATCATGTAATCCCGGTTACGCTTTTACGGACGGAATTAAGGGGCAATTGAGAGAGAGATTTTATGAGTTGGAAATAGGCCATGGTAAGGGCCGGGCAAGTTGAAGGCCGAGCGCGTTTGGGCCAGGATAGCTTTGGGCTTGCCCGCAGATGGGGCTGCTTGGCTAAATCCCAAGACTGAGCTACTTGAACTTACACAGGTGGAAACCGTGCTACTCGTGTTGCTCGGCAGGAAAGCTCACGCCTTTAGCTCGGCAGGAAGGCCTTTGTTTTACCCGCGTGACCTATTTCGAGCTCGGCTCTGCCGGAATGCAGCTGAGCTTGGTCGGTATGGAGCTCGGTTAGTGAGCATTCGGGCATGCGGCACAGCACGGCCGGGTGAGGCTGAAGTGATTCCGCTTGTCTGCCGGGCTCCGCCAAGATATCCTGACAGTTTGGTTAGGTGATGATTGCTGGACTTGTACTGACAGATGGGATAGTAGCACCACGTGTCGAGAGACTAATGGGAGTAGATTTGGGGCGCAGAAGGTATATAAGCGTGTCAGCGCCTCCCATGCTTTGGCAGATGATCATTTGGTGAGATACACTTAGACATTCAACTCTCTCCTCTCTCTCTCTCTCTCTATCCCTGAGTATGTGCTAACTTGACCGTCGGAGGGGTTTTCCAGCCACACACCGCCGGGTAGCTCACCGCCGTTGTGTTCGCAAGTCGATCGGACAGACAGGGAACTTGGAAGAAAAGAGTACGGGCTCGCCGGAATATTTGTTCACCGTACAGTGGTGATGTGTGATTGAATTTATTTAAAAAATCATTCAGTGTATACATAAAATCTTTTAGTTTATAATAATGTCAACATACTTATTTAATAAATATAATATGATTGAATTTAATTATGGAAGGTTTTAATTTTTTTTTTAACATATAGACCGATGAGTGGGTTTGAGATTTATAATTATTTTTTGAACCAAGCGTGGGAAGATATAGAGACCCGATGTTAGGCCTGGGCTCGACTTAGATAGGCACAAAATCCTTTATCATATAGTGATGACCCAACCTAAATTCAACCCGGCCCGACCCAACGTTTTTCCACCCTCAAGAAAATAGTGATCGTGTAAGAACAATGAGTTCTTGTTTGGTTGTATAATTTAAGTTCTATTTTTTTTATCCCCCTCAAATTAGACTTTTTCACAATTACTAATTTGAATAACCGTCACCATTTGGATCACACCATCTAAAATTAAAAACTATAAAAAAATGAATAGATGAAATTAATATTTGCATAAATAATATTTTAAAAAGTGATAGTTTAAAAAATAAAAGTGAAATTAACTTAGTAAAACAATTTGCATAAGATATTATTTATACAATGGTTCCCAGACAAGGTACAAGAGGGTGTCTCTGAAACATTCTAGGGGCGACGCTACAATGGCATATGAAGCAACTCTATTTTTTCCTTTTTTTAAACACATTCAATTTAGTTAGGCAAGCACATGGTCCATATATATATATAAAAGAAAACGAGGATGAAAAACGAATTATGGTTGAGCATAGACCGCCGCCAGGGTCTCAAGCTCGAGTTGATTGATGCAATTCAATTTCACTGTTGTTACCCTAGCTTGAACCAGTCATTTCTAATATTATATAATACATATAGGACTAGCTTCTTTTCGGTTTGAAATCAGATTGAAGAGATATTGTTCAGCTTATTAGGTCTATTTTTGAGTTTTGTTTTGATAATTTAAATCGTATATATTTAAAATTCGTCGAGTGTGTTATCTCTATAAAAAAATCAAATCAATCGACATATATATATATATATATATATGTGCGCACGCGCCCCCATCGAATCAACATTTTTGTGTGTTCATGACTCATTTGTACTGAATCAACATTTTTCATGGGTTAACCAAGCGTAAGATAGATAATCAGTATAAATGTTTTGGGAAGGAGTTATTTTAATTAATTTTTTTGGCTTTATAAAATAACGTGTAAAAAAAATAAAAAGAAAAGTTGATTTTTTTTAATAATTTTCTAACGTTTTAACTATTTTTGTAGGTTGTCAAAACATCAATATTTCCACGTCTTTAATTTGTCTCTCCTCCATTTGTATAACACTTGAATATATATATATATGAACCGCTTAACTACTTGAGATTTGTCTTTTCTTTCTGATTTTGTCCTTTCATTTTGAATAATTTACTAATAATGGTCTATATATTGAGTGAAAGTTTTTTCATAATTAAGCAAACATTATTGATCAATTATACAACAGGTTTTTTCGTAATTACGCGAACATTCTTAGTCAATCATAAAACATGTTTTTTCATAATTACGCAAACGTTCTTGATCAATTATGAAATATAAATCTTTTATTTTTTAATTTTGTAAATTTTCATTTAACACAACACTCAAGGAAAAAAAAAAAAAACCAATTCTCCTATACAATAATAAATTATCAAAATTGTTTATTGAAAAATATTTATCATATCATTAAAAACTATTAATTGACTTAATGATTTATTTATTAACAAAATCGTGAACTGAAAAATATTTTTCATATCATTAAAAATTGTTAATTTATTTATTAATAAAATTAGTCATTTATTATACGAATATGATTTATGTATTAATAAATTTAGTTATTTGTATATATATGTATTTCTTTTTGCTTCTTTATTAGTTTAGTGAATTATCTTAGTAGTTTTTTTTTAGATAAAAAAATTATCTTAGTATTTGTTTTATATTTATTTATTAAGAAAAACTACCCACCATAATTTTTTATTTTTTTTTATAAATTCGGAAGAAATGTTAAACACTCGTAAATTTACTTAAAATGATATAGTAATAAAATTGGAGTCCGCTTCATTGGGTGTATAACAAATCAAAAAATGATACATATCAAATCACATAATTCTATTATATATCTAATAATTTATTCTATTCAATTTTATAGAATAATATTTTAATTTTAAAAAAATTATCAAAATATAAAACTTAAATATACTGTAATAATAACTCATGTCTTGCACGAGCCTTCTAGTATATATATATATTGTTTTTGGTAGTGGTAGACTGGTAGTATGTAGAAATTTGGACATGGTTTCAGTGTATCTACATTGAAATATTTATTTGATTATAAAAAATATGTAACTTAAAAATTTTGTCACTTTTTTTAAATAATCTAAAATATTTTTGAAATATAGAAACGGCTAAATCTACGTATTCAATAACTGGTAAATAAATTTCAAATTCAATCTTCATTCATTAAATCTCTAAAAAATTTAGATGAAATATATATGTTTAAAAAAACTATTTTGTCTACCTCTTGTTGAGAATATAGAGCTTTCTAAGACCTGGGTCTCACTATTATTATCGACAAAAGCTTGTTTGTGAAAAAATATGAATAGAAGAAGGAAAACTCTCAAGGGCCATAGACCTTCAAAGTAGTTTTATCCCTTAACAACTATATATAATAATAATATAAAAACAACCTCAAAATGACATCTCATTTCGGAAATGCTTCCCCAATACACTTAGCTTTGCTATTTTCAAACATCCACACTCTATAAAGCCAGCACTGCACTGCTCTCCATTACACATCCAACACTACTTACTAATCCTTTTTTCTGCCCTTTCATCCATATCCCCATTAAACACCAATCTAAGGTTTGAATTGAATTTCTTTGCTTTTATTAATCTTCTTGTTATCTCAGTTTTTCATGAATATACAATGATTGATTCTTTATACAATTTTCTGCAGGGTTCGATGATGGGGAGATCACCATCGAGCAGCGATGAGAATGGGCTAAAGAAGGGACCGTGGACTCCGGAAGAAGATAGAAAGCTGATTGATTACATAGAGAGAAATGGGCATGGAAGTTGGAGAGCACTTCCAAAGCTTGCTGGACTCAACAGGTGTGGAAAGAGTTGTAGGTTAAGGTGGACCAACTATCTCAGGCCTGATATCAAGAGAGGAAAGTTCTCTGATGAAGAAGAACAAATCATCATCAACCTCCACGCCGTTCTTGGAAACAAGTAATAAATCTTTCTCATCTCATATGCATATATATATATATATATATAAATCCAAATCCATATCATGGCATTAAATCATATATATTAATTTCCTGGTGGTGCAGGTGGTCAGCAATAGCAACGCATCTTCCAGGGCGAACAGATAATGAAATCAAGAATTTTTGGAATACCCACCTAAAGAAAAAGCTTCTTCAAATGGGTATCGACCCAGTCACCCACAGGCCAAGAACCGACCTCTGTCTCCTTGCAAATCTGCCTCAATTGCTCTCAGCAGCAGCCTCTCACTTTGTTAATCCTATGAATAATAACTCATGGGACAACAATTCCCTGAGTCTGAGGTTACATACAGATGCCACACAACAACTAGCCAAACTCCAATTATTGCATAATATAGTTCAAGTCCTAAGTACTAGTCCAGTGACTCCAACCATGGAGGCTCTCAACCACTTAGGAACTTTGCCGCTTCATGACCACCACGATCACCTTCATGAATACCTTAGAATGAATTCACAGTTTGAATTGGAAGGTCTTGGCAATAGCACCATCAATTTGGCTTCAAACCCCAATCAAATTCCATATTCCAGTACTTTTCCAAGCTTAATTGATGTCAATCAACCTACTCACAATGTTCATCAGCCCATAGGGAACTCTAAAATTTTTAATGGTGATGACAGTGATGCTAATGATCAGTTTGGTGCCATTCCAAAAGAAAATTCCCTTCCCCCGTTGGTTTCAGTACTAGACTCGACTGATCAGTGTTTTACTGTGAATGGAATGGAAAATAAAATGAACCCAAGTGATCATATCTCCAACCCTTCAACATCCACTTCAACCACCTTTGGAGAAGCTTGGGGAGAACTTCTTGATGATGACGACGCAGGTGACTCTTTCTTACTGGACCTACAGAGACTATAGAGTGAGTATTAAGAAATTATTATATATTCGTCTTGCAAATTCTTCTTATGTTTTGTGTTATTTTTTTCATTTTTTTTTTGTTTTTTTTTTCATTTTTTTTTTTTTTTTTGGTTTGTTTGTTATTCCTTTGCAGCCTAATTACTTGTCTCTCATGACCATTCTCGTGTTGGACGCCGCTTTCAGTTGATATTATGAAGAGATTTAGACGCATTTGTATAACCAAAAAAAAACTATTCATTTGGGATGCGATTTTGTATTAATAGATTTGGACAGCTATTGAATATATATATACATCCCATATGATCACCATTGTACAAATTACACTAAAAATTAAATGAATTTTTATGTATTTTCTTGTAATGCAAGCTTCTATCTTTTTCCTTTTTCTTTTTTCCTTATGTTTTGTAAGACAACACTACGTTAGTTTTCTCATCTCGTTCAAACAAACTCATGACACATTCAAGGATGGATCTAGGGGATACGGAGAGGAGCGACCGCATCCCCAAAAGTTTAAAAAATATCATATATTATACTTGAAAATAATTTAAAATTATAAAAGTTTGCATTCTAAACATACTTTCGCACCTCCATAGTAATAATTATGAATCTGTCCTTGAATATATTTAGGCCCCGTTTGTTTTTGGGTTAAATAGATGGGAGGGGATTAGGATGGAGGTGGGGTTATTTAGTGTTGTATTTGTTTATAGAATTGGGGAGGGGATTAGGATGGAGGAGGTGATATAGATGGAGGTTGGAATGGGGATTGAGATAGAGGAGGTGGAGATGGTATTAGAAAAATAGTAAGGGGATTAGAAATTTTTTTATTTTTTATATTTTTTATATATTGGGAATTTTTTTTTAAATATTAATGTTATTTTTTTATATTTTTTTTGTTTTATTATTTTATATAAAAATAATTTAACAATTCATACACTAACAATTATCATTAAAACAAACACAATTTTACTTAATCCCTTCACTATCAATCCCCTCACTAACAATCATTTCACTATTAATCCCCTCATTATGAATTCTCTCAATTCTACTTCTGAAAACAAATGAGACCTTATATATCTTAAATGATTGTAGCCGTAAGATCCAAGTTAATTGGCAAACAAAGCTGCAAAAATGTACATTCGAAAATGACAATTAAAATCACTAGGCAAATGAATGGTGAGGATCAAATTTGCTTGGCAATTCATGCATTGCATAGCTTGGGACTAGGGGGAGAGAGAGAGAGAGAGATGGTGAGGATCAAATTTGCTTGGCAATTCATGCATTGCATAGCTTGGGACTAGGGAGAGAGAGAGAGAGAGAGCGTGAATATAAAACAAGTTAGTTGTGGAGAGTAACTGGAACACGAAATAGACATCCAAACAAGGACCCTTATGCTTGAATTGAGAAAGAGAGTTTGATTATTAATTAATATTATACAAGCAAATTTTTTGTAATAATTAACAGTTACAGTTACAAAGCCACAGACAAAAAAGGCCCACCCCCTGCTTCTAATGTGTTTGTGTCATGTTCTTAATTATTTTTATTATCTGGTTATCTTACAAGCAAACTCACCAAGTAATTGATTAGAACATAAAATATGAAAAAATGCTTTAGACTATCAAAACATCATTCCGAAATTTTCAATCAATGACACAAATTGTTACATTTACATGTATGTTGTTAATTTGTTTAAGAATCAATCAAGACTCAACTTTCTGCTGAGTTAATGTAGTTAAATTTGGGGAGTGATATTTTAGAGGCCTCTAGGACCTATGAAGTATACATATTTCGACAAACATATTGTATCTGTATCGAGTATGTATTGGCATATGGTACTTTTGCATACGTACCAGATACACAAAACACGTACTCAAATTATTTCTTCTTAATATATGGCATTCTCAGATATACCTAATATAGACTATCAAAACATCATTCCGAAATTTTCAATCAATGACACAAATTGTTACATTTACATGTATGTTGTTAATTTGTTTAAGAATCAATCAAGACTCAACTTTCTGCTGAGTTAATATAGTTAAATTTGGGGAGTGATATTTTAGAGGCCTCTAGGACCTATGAAGTATACATATTTCGACAAACATATTGTATCTGTATCGAGTATTTATTGGCATATGGTACTTTTGCATACGTACCGGATACACAAAACACGTACTCAAATTATTTCTTCTTAATTTATGGCATTCTCAGATATACCTAATATATATCTAAGTTGTACCGTACCTCAATTGAAACAATATTTTCTTCTATTACAGAGATAAAATTCATTTCACTAGACTTCTTTTTTTTTATTTTATTGGATGCTTAGCATAATTTTAAAATTAAGTTATGATTTATAAGTTATTTAATATAATGATATTTAATTTTAATTTATACCTTTATTTTTTACATTAAATATTAATTATAGATTTGATCTTAACAAATTAAACTATTTAATCAATTTCTACATTACTCCAAATTAAAAATAAATATTTTTTAAAAAATGTGCAAAGCCATATCCGCGCCATACATTTTTGAATTTTATCTTATCGACTGACCCGTATTGTATTTGTACCCGTGTTTCAAAGGCTAGGATTATGCAGTCAAATGTATGAAAAGAACTTAATTTGAATAATAGTTTCTGGTTAACTAATTGACTATAAAGAGAAAGTCAAGACTATTTGTTAAACATTAGGTAAGACTCTCTCTCTCTCTCTCTCTCTCTCTCTCATCAAGTACCTGCTATTTAGAGTACTGGTTAACTTGTAGGGCATGAAAAGAGTGATGCTCTAATCCTTGGAAAGCTAGCTAATTTTGTTATTATTACTGTAAGAAGATGCTGCCAAAGTTAATTTTAGGCGAATGTATATAAGCAAGAAATTTTGCATGGTTATGAGCAAGAGATGAGCTACCTAAAAAACCTACATGTATCATCTCCTATATTATATACAACTTCAGCTCAGTCGGTCCAAATTAAGACTAGAATAGAATTAGACAAGTGGTAGAATTGGTGAAGTTTTTAATATTTTTTATTCAAATAAATGCTTAATAGAAATCCAAACTGATAAGTTTAACTTGTCTAACAAGGGATTGTAATTGATGATAATGATGATGATTTTAGTAGGTATGGTATTGACCACTAAAAAAGAACAAACCTCACCTACCTTTGCCAAATGTGTTGCCTTTCCAATCTACACGGCTCCCAAATTCACTATTTGGTGTCCCTACAGAAGTGTACGTTTTTAATTTTTAATTTTTTTTAATTACATAACCTCTCTATTTTTTTATTTTTTTTTTTATATATTTTTTCATAAAACTTCAAAAATTATATTTATTTACATCATTCCAAACACTGTCTCATGACATACATGTTAGGGAAAATATATGATTCCCCACAAGTAACTCAATCAATGGGAATAAAAACTAATGCGGAAAAATTAAATCAAAAGCAACACGAGAATTTTACCTGGTTCCCTCGATGTGAGGTACGTCTACGAGATCGAAATCCGATTTCATTATCAACCAAATAAGTTTTCAAACGATTACAAACGAGACACGAATGGAGATATCAACCATACCCGCCAAAGTTCGACATTTCAAATGTTTGTCTCTCGACAAAGTCTTAGTCAACATGTCTGAAATATTATTATCTGTGTGAACCTTTTCGAGTTGTAACAATTTCGAATCTAACACATCACGAATCCAATGGCATCTTACATCAATGTGTTTCGATCTCGAATGAAAAGTAGAATTTTTACTCAAATAAATAGCACTTTGACTATCACACATACTTTTCTGACTTCAAACCCAACTCACTCTTCTTTGCAAGCTTCCGTAATGGCAATAAATTCAGCTTCGGTAGTTGAGAGAGCAACACATTTTTGTAATTTAAATTGCCATACCACAGCTCCTCCTGCAAATGTCATCAAATACCCCGAAGTAGATTTCCTAGAATCAATATCACCGGCCATGTCAGAATCTGTGAACCCATCAAGCATCGGCTTACCATCCCAAAAACACAAACATACCTTCGAAGTCCCTCGAAGATACCTTAGAATCCATTTTACCGCTGCCCAATGTTCTTTACCCGGATTAGAAAGAAAACGACTCACCACACCAACGGCGTGAGCAATATCTGGCCTTGTACAAACCATGGCGTACAACAAAGAACCAACTGCTGAAGCATAAAGAACTTTCAGCATCTCTTCCTTATCTTTCTCACTTGTAGGACATTAATTTGAACTAAGCTTGAAGTGACCCGCAAGTGGACAACCAACCGGCTTTGCTTTATTCATGTTGAACCTCTCAAGAACTTTCTCAATGTAGCTTTCTTGAGACAATCAAATCAGCCCCTCTTTGCGATCACGAACAATTTTCATACAAAGTATTTGTTGTGCCGGTCCCAAATCTTTCATAGCAAAAGATTTACTCAACTCTATCTTCAACTTGTTAATCATGGTAGAATCTTCACCCACAATTAACATGTCATCAACATAAAGCAAAAGAATAATAAATTTACCATCCGGGAAATTTTTCACAAACACAATAGTCCGAAGTGGTTTTAGAAAAACCATTATTCATCATGAAAGAGTCAAATTTTTTGTACCATTGCCACGGGACTTGCTTGAGACCATACAAACTTTTCTTCAATTTGCAAACAAATTTTTCTTTCCCTTTTTCCGCAAAACCTTCTGGTTACTCCATGTAAATTTCTTCTTCAAGGTCACCATGAAGAAATGCGGTCTTCACATCAAGTTGTTCAACTTCAAGGTTCATACTTGCAGCCATGCCAAATACAACCCGAATAGAAGACATCTTCACAACTGGCGAGAAAATTTCATCAAAATCAATACCTTTTTTTTGCCCAAAGCCTTTCACAACAAGACGTGCTTTGTACCTCAGATTCTTGCCATCATTCTTCAATTTGAAAACCCACTTAGTTTTCAGAATTTTCCTCCCTTTAGGCAACTTCACTAAATCATAAGTCTGGTTTTCAAGCAAGGAATTCATCTCCTCGTCCATGGCCTTTTTCCAATCACCTTTCTTTGCATACTCAATTGCTTCTTGGTAGCTCTCAAGCTCCCCTTGATCGGAAATCAACACAAATTATTGGGAGGATACTTTCTTGAAGATTGTCGGTCCCTTGTAGATTTCCTCAACTCAAGTTGTGATGGCAATTCTTGAGTTAGATGCTCTTCCTCAATTTCTGGCTCAACTTCATTAGGATTAGCATCATCCTCTACATCTTCAATAGGTGGCCACACATCTCCCCCATTTTCATCATCCACCGAAAATGAAAGAGATGGATCCATGTCAATGAGATCACTAGTTTTTGGCTCCGATTGATCACCTTTGCCAAAATCTTCAATTGTTTA